CCCTCCCACTTCTCCCCATAGTTACCTCTTCCCTATGTCCTTCCTTCCATGCACTCCCACCCTCCTGAGCTGTCTCCCTATGTATACACTGCCCTTCTATTCTCCCATGATTGATCTCTCCAAAGAATATATCTGCCTAAAGTAAATGATCAGCTCATATGCCTGTCTTTTGTTTGGCTGCAAGCCACAGAAGTGAGTTCAATTCCAGACCCGAAGGACAGCTAGGGGCCATAGTCTAAGTGGTTCCATCAGGCTATATCAGACCAGCAAACCTGGTCCTATTTTTCTTTTTTTTTAAAATGATTTTGAATTTTGTTCCATGTTGTTCTCCCACTCTATCCAGGATCTCCTACGTAGATCCCTCTTTGAGTAGTTGACAATGGTAGCTGAGCACCGTCTAGTACTTCTGGTCTCATGGTCTTATAGGTCGAGGTTCACATTGTGTACTAGTGGCTTGGACTAATTGTTTCCATGTGTCTTTGGTTTTCTTCATTCTTCTTTGCTCTGGCCGAGGATAGCCATTGTTGCATCTAGATGGCTGCTTGCAAGCTTTTAAGTTCTCAGTTACTAGTCACCAAAGTAGAGTATGGAACAGTGTTTTTGTGTAGCATGTTATGCCAGTTGAGCTTAAGGTTCCCTGTGACTATGGTCCCGAGCCCACAGGTCCAACAACTCTCCAGGAGACAATAAATTTTTATAGAACTATGTTTATATGTATGTAAGTGTCTTTGAGTATAAAGTTGCCCAAGGAACATTACATAAATAATGATTTTTTATTCTATAGACTAAGAGAAGACATTTCATAGACTTTATTTTCATTTTCTTTGGAGCCTAAAATTTGCATATAAGGCATTTGTGGGTTTATTTAACATTTTATAGGTACTCTGCTGAGTTCTCTAAGTTCAGAGTCCCTACTCCATTTACACTGTCTCGTTTTTAGATAGATACTCTTTTTTCTTCTACCTAACAATTTGCTTACCATTTTTATTTAGAATCATTTCTGATAATGTGGCAATAAGATAATTATAGATTAGTTAGAACAGGACTATCCCTCTTGTTTTCAGCATAAACATATACAAGGTGATCAGCATTTCAGTATTTCTTGTGACGTGGTTTATACATACAAATGAGTGTTACTCCCCTTTTACAAACCAGAAGAAAAGCCTTCAAGATTAACATTAGGAGTAGAAATACCATGGTACTTTTGACTAGAAGCCATTAGGTTAGGATTGTCATTTTATCTTAGTTAGTGAACTGGACTCTGTTTTCTTTTCATCCAAGCTGACAATCCTTTCTGATGAGAGAGCTGCCCTCCTGGAGCTGTGGGAACTGCGCAGGCAGCAGTATGAGCAGTGCATGGACCTGCAGCTCTTCTACCGAGACACCGAGCAAGTTGACAATTGGATGAGCAAACAAGAGGTAATATGTGAGTGAAACCATTGCCAAATGAATGAGAAGTCTTTGTTTCATCAACTTTTCAGATAGTTTGCTTGATTTTAGGAAATCAGTACCATTTCAGTTCTGAATCAGGAGAGGAAGCTGAACAAAGTTTCTGTGTTAGTTCTCTCCCTGCTGAGATTACAAGAGGCTCATAGAAGTTGTAATTGGATATAGTGATACAAAATTGCTTTTCAATAAAGAACAATCTATGTCTGATAGAATCAATAAAAGCTGTTTGAAGAAAGTTTCAGGATAATGTGGAATAAGGATTTTATTGAAATAATAAGGTATTGTTGAATTGGTTTTTAAGTGAATCCAAAAGCATTTTTTAGGCTTTCCAGAGAAAATCCTAGGAGTTTAATAGCTATAGTATCCCTTTCCCCTTTTCTGTATTTTGGCCAAATTATCCTTTGTTTCCTATCTTAAAAGATCACAAAAAAGGGCAGTATTCTGAGTACCTTACTTTCTTTTGCAAGGCATTCTTGTTGAATGAAGACCTGGGAGATTCCTTGGATAGTGTGGAAGCACTTCTGAAGAAGCATGAGGACTTTGAGAAATCCCTCAGTGCCCAGGAAGAAAAGATTACAGTAAGAGCCCTTATTGTTATCACTGCCTTCTCATGGTTCTTAGAGTAAGCCAGAAGTCTCTACTAAGTTTCTGAACCTATCTGATGAAGGATCTGTGTTAAAGGCACTCCTATAGCTGCTTAAAATCTCATGATGATAATATACCATCTTGTTGGAGATACATATAACTTTATTGAAATGAAGTTATTTACTTGCTAAAAACCTCTAAATCAAAATTTATTTTTCACTAAAAGTAGTTAAAAATTAATGTAAGAGGTGCTCTTCTCTTTGAAAACAGTTCTTAGAAGTAGGAATTGTAAGAATGTTAATCTGCATCTGACCCCTATGAGGAAATTTTGCTGCGGCTAATGCCTGCAATCTTGAATGGAGCTGGAATAATACTGTTACATCTGACTAATAACATCAAGCAAAAACTCAAAAGTTAAGGGGGAAATGTTGTCATTGCCATCTTTAGAGTGAGAACTTTGATCTCTGTTAAGGTTTGATCTCTGTTAAAGTGTTTTGTGACCTGTTCAGCGGTTATTCTTCTCTAGTAACCAAGTTGCTTCTTCAAAAAAGCCAAACCCATTGCTCTCAAGTCAATTCTGACTAATAGCAACCCTATAGGACAGAGTAGAACTGTCTCATAGGGTTTCCAAGGCTGTAATCTTTACTGAAGCAGGCTTGCCTCATCTTTCTCTCAGGGAGTGGCTGGTGGATTCAAACTGCTGACCTTTTGGTTAGCAGCCAGCTGCTTAACCCTGTATCACCAGGGCATCTGATTGTATGTTTACTAGAGAAGAACTCTTATTTTCCTTCCTAGGCATTAGATGAATTTGCCACCAAGCTAATTCAGAACAATCACTATGCAATGGAAGATGTGGCTACTCGTCGAGATGCTGTAAGTTTCCAGGTTCTTTTTGTTCCTTCTTTTCTGTCCTTGGGTATCCCTTCTAAGACAGATTTTGAAGTCTTCATCTGGAATGTTATCGGGAGTAAGAACTAGAGATTCACATGGCCCCTTGTCTTTCAGCTTTTGAGCCGTCGCAATGCCCTTCATGAGAGAGCCATGTATCGCCGGGCCCAACTGGCTGATTCCTTCCACTTGCAGCAATTTTTCCGTGATTCTGATGAGCTCAAGAGTTGGGTCAACGAAAAAATGAAAACTGCCACAGATGAAGCTTACAAGGTGTAGTACTGTTTGCACTGCTGTGTGGTACTGGGCTAGTAAAGCTAAGGTCACAATATTTATCTGAAGCTGTCACAAATCATAAATTGTAGCTAAAGAAAGAGGGGATTCCAAAAACCATGTCATTTAACAACCTGACTGTTTTATACTTTGTCCTTGTAAAGATAGGTATGAGGGTGACTTGATCTGGGTAGCAGATAGAATCCCTTTCTTTTATTGGCAGGACCCATCCAACTTACAAGGAAAAGTACAGAAGCATCAGGCTTTTGAGGCTGAGCTCTCAGCAAACCAGAGCCGAATTGATGCCCTAGAGAAAGCAGGGCAAAAGCTGATTGATGTCAACCACTATGCCAAGGATGAAGTAGCAACCCGCATGAATGAGGTGATCACTTTATGGAAGAAACTGCTAGAGGCCACTGAACTGAAAGGTAAGAGAAAACGTTTTCACTGAATTCTGATAGGAATGTTTGGAAAAATATTCTTTCCTAGTTAACTGTTTTAGCAACATATACAACTCAATTAAAGTGAGTGGAAGATCACTTTGGCTTTAGGGTTGTTTTCTTGTGTAGGGAGTTACTCAGATTCTGGTACTTTGCTGTAATTATAGATGTGGTGAAGTAAGAATAGGAGATTCTTACTGATGGTTGGCGGGGGAGGCCTAAGTATAAAGAAGATATTGACCAACCTGCCTTGAGTGAATTGGGCCCCATTACTAAAAAAGTTTAGCTTTGACCCAAGGGCATTTAATAAAATTTTCAAGCGCTCCTATCTTATGGAGGTGAGCATGCTTTTCAAACAGCTTCCAGTTCAGCCTCTAGAAATTAGACAAGTGGTTGGAATTTATTTTTTCCTTAACTATGGGATAGAAATAAAACTAAAATTCTAACCCATAGTTCTTTACTAAGATACCATAGTTTATGAACAGTGATGGTAAAGGAATAATGTTAGAAATAGAAATTTCACCTTGCCTTTTGACTAGGCATAAAGCTTCGTGAAGCCAATCAGCAGCAGCAGTTTAATCGCAATGTTGAAGATATTGAGCTGTGGCTGTATGAAGTAGAAGGACACTTGGCCTCGGATGATTATGGCAAAGATCTCACCAATGTCCAGAACCTCCAGAAGAAGCACGCCCTACTGGAGGCGGATGTGGCTGCTCACCAGGTAGGGTGTGAATTTGGGGCTTTTGGTGAGGCAAGTGAATTCGGAATCAATAACTTTGGGAAAAAAGCAAGCAATTTCAAGACCAAACTAGCTTTAGAAAGGATATAATGTATTGATTTTCCTAGATAACCCTATATAACCCAATCCACTTCTCAAATTAAATAATACTGCTTTCTGGGACCCCCATGTGGGTAAAAAGATGGCAAAAAGATTTTTTCAGGGGTGAGAAAAGGACCCTGTTCTGAAAAACTTAGATCACAGCTAAAAATGTCATTCTAGGAATCTCCAGAACATAGTTGCTCAACACTAGCCCAACCTTTAAAGACTCGTCTCCCATTCCCAGGATCGAATCGATGGCATCACCATTCAGGCCCGCCAATTCCAAGATGCTGGCCATTTTGATGCTGAAAACATCAAGAAGAAGCAGGAGGCCCTTGTCGCTCGCTATGAGGCTCTCAAGGAACCCATGATTGCCCGAAAGCAGAAGCTGGCTGATTCTCTGCGTTTGCAGCAGCTCTTCCGTGATGTTGAGGATGAGGAGACATGGATTCGAGAGAAGGAACCCATTGCTGCATCTACCAACAGAGGTCAGTCTACCTCAATCAGATAGAAATCAAGTTGAGAGAAGGCTATAGTCTTGTAGCATAAAGGTGACACATCTCTGAATGAGCAGGGTAAAGTTTAAATTATTAAGCTGGCGTTATGATGGTAACTAAGAGTGACAGGTTAGTGCTAACTTACCTTTTCACGGCTTGGATGATTAGGGAGTGGTTTCTGCTTTCAGGCAAAGATTTGATTGGAGTCCAGAATCTGCTAAAGAAGCACCAGGCTTTACAAGCAGAAATTGCTGGACACGAGCCTCGCATCAAAGCAGTTACACAGAAGGGGAATGCCATGGTGGAGGAAGGTGAGCATGTGTGGAAATTAGGATCAGGGAAAATGGCTTTGCTTTTGGTTTTCATATCTCCTCTTAAATTTATGGACTTGAGTAAGACTGGATTTGAATACCATCTCCATTCTTTCCTAACTATATGACCTTGGTTAGACCTTAACCTCTTTGAGCTTCAATATTTTTTATCTGTAACAAGGATAACAATACACACTCTCAATGTAGTTGTGATGATTAAATGAGATCAAGTGGCTAAAGAGCCTCATACTGTGCCTGGCTTCTATAAGTCTCTGTAACTCAGAGACACACAGTTATGTTTATTATTTCTTTAATAGCATTCGTTACTAATGCCAGCTTGAGATAGCTGCTGCTTAGAATCTGGACAGAGGTCATGATTGGAGGAGGCAAAAACATTGAGACAATTTGTTAAAGCATTAGAGCCTCTTTTAAAACCTGGGGTTGTGAAAGGGATCTGGATCACCAAAATTCAGTAGTGAAACTTCTGTAGCACACAAAAGACTTTTTTTTAATCCTTCTGTAATGTATCAACATACTTTTTCCATGATCCTCTCTTCCCCCAACCCACCTTCCAGGACATTTTGCTGCAGAAGATGTGAAGGCCAAACTTAATGAACTGAACCAGAAATGGGAGTCACTGAAATCCAAAGCCTCGCAGCGTCGGCAGGACCTCGAGGACTCACTGCAGGCCCAGCAGTACTTTGCTGATGCCAACGAGGCCGAATCCTGGATGCGGGAAAAGGAGCCCATCGTGGGCAGCACTGACTATGGGAAGGATGAGGATTCTGCTGAGGTAGCCTCTGAGTTTGGGAAGCATTGCACTCACCTGGGAAATTGGCCAGGTCTTTGGACTGGAAACAAGTTAGGAAAAATGATGATGTGTGGCATCCCAGTTGTTGACTTTTTAAGGTGTTTTGGAATCTATTTTTTAACTTTTCTCTATGGAAAATCAGTCTTAAAAAGTAGCAAGAAAACTACCTGTCCCCAGCTTCAACTGTTACTAATATTTTTGACATTCTTAGTATTCTCTCCAGCATGTGCACACATACACTTTTTTGAGTGAATTTTTGCTGGTCATTTTTTTTGACTAAAACTCTTAAATTGTAAAAGTCTAGGTCTTGTTCCTGTAACAACCTCTTCTTGGTATAGCCATCACAAAAACCAGAATGAGTTGAATATTGACATGAGCTATATAGATTCTCCCAAAAGATAGGAGAACAGAAAAGATTTGAAAATGGTAGTGGTGGGAAGTGATACAGCACCAAATGTGGAGATAGAAGGGATATGTCATCAAGGAGGGCAGTCTGGATAGCCAGCTCCTTTGTTGGTGTAACGTTGTAGTTCTTAAGATGTGTGTTGGATTCCCTGGACCATGTGAAAGTGCCCTCATGTCTTTATATGTTTGAAGTATAATGTAATTAAGTATATAAAAGGATAGTGAAAAATACTATTATATGCCATAGTTAATGTTTCCCCCAAAAGTTTATTTAGAAAAAAGGAAAGTACAGGGTGGAAGATGAACAAATCATCATGTAATTAAACAAGATAGCATGTTGATGAGGTACTGAAGGTAGCAGGCTCAGACTCCTTGTGCAGATGCTCCATGTGTGATTGTGGTTTCAGGCTCTGCTAAAGAAACATGAAGCTTTGATGTCGGATCTCAGCGCCTACGGCAGCAGTATTCACGCTTTGCGAGAGCAAGCTCAGTCATGCCGGGTAAACTTGGCTTTGTTTCAGCATTTATGGGTTATCTGTGGGGCAGGGAACATTGAGGAACTTGGGATATTACCAGCGGGTATTATAGTTTTACACAACATTCTTGTGACATAGAGGCTTACATGTAGTTTCATAGAAGATTTCTTAATGATAAGCAGCTAAAGTTCTTGAATGAGGTTGTACTGATAGCTTCTGGGAAGAACTCTCATAAATGTGTATTTAGTACATTTGAACTTGGGGTCTGTTGTATCCCTAGATGACACACCACGGGTATCCTTTAAACCATCTTTGCCCTTCCTTTGGATTTTTAGCAACAAGTGGCCCCTATGGATGATGAGACTGGGAAGGAGTTGGTCTTGGCTCTCTATGACTATCAGGAGAAGAGTCCTCGAGAGGTCACCATGAAAAAAGGAGATATTCTCACCTTACTCAACAGCACTAACAAGGCAAGGCATAGAAAGTGATAGTGTGTGTGTTTCTGTCACTATCGCCATGTTTGCTCCTTTAGATACCTTTGCATGGTTGAACTGCCCCCAAATAAAGCTAGTTTAGAATTTAAAGAGGTACTATATTCCTAGTCTAATCTTCCACTTAGTATAGGTTTATCCTGTACTGCATATGGTCAAGAAGATAATCAGTTTTCTTGAATACCTGCAAGTAGTATAGAGTCATACTCTCAAGGGTAGCGTTTTCATGACAAAATATATGCAGACAGAATTCCTTCCTCTCTGAGACAAAGTCTGCATCTTTAACTTGTACATGTTGGTTCTTAACCTAGTATGTACAGCTGCATCTCACCGTAACAGATGGTTAAAGACAGCTGTTGAAGACATCACCCCATAGACTTTGTCTTCTCCAAGTTCAATACTGCTTGGTTCATTAGCCTGTCTTCCTTGCCACATTCTGGTTTGACAGTGAATTTGAAATGAGGCACATGAAACTCTACATATTATATGACTAATCGCAAAGGATACTACCTCCCAACTTGGTTAAGGCTAGAGAAATTTTCTCAGCCATTATTAAGAACTACCCTATTCCCACACCCCCAGTTTACCTTAAGTCATGAGAATTTGAGGAAGCATGTGATTCATATCTTTTTGTTGACTTTAATTTCCCCCCAAACCAACCCCACTGGTCAGACTCTTGTTTATTTGAAAGCAATGTTGTTCAATAGAACTTTCTGTGAGGATAGAAATATTATGTCTGTGCTACCCATACAGTTGCTACCAGCCACATGTGATGAAGCACTTGAATGTTCCTAATGTGACTAAAGAACTGAATTTTTTTTTATTGTATTTAATTTATTTAAAGTTAAATAGCCACATATGGCTAGTGGGTACAGTATTGGGTAGCACAGTTGTGGAGTGTCTAAGCAAAGAGAAGGCTGTCCTTCATGTTTAGGTATCATTGCTACTTCATGCATGAATTCCCCATGCTTGACAGGTCATACAAAGGGCCAAAATTTCAGTCTTTATGCAATGACTTTGACCGTCCGTGATTCTTTTTAAATGATTAGAACTTTATTTATTGTGACTGTGTAGACACGTATACACAGGCCTTGGATTCTCCCCTACTCAAAGAATTTTAGGAGAATGGTTGCATAACCTAAAGAATGTAATCAGGGTTACTGAATTGTGCACGTAGAGATTGTTGAATTGCTGTAGGTTTTGCTGTGTATATATTCAACGACAACAACAAAATTGTTTTCAGTTCTCACCTTTTTTTTTTTATTCAGGACTGGTGGAAAGTAGAAGTGAATGACCGTCAGGGTTTTGTGCCAGCTGCATATGTGAAGAAATTGGACCCCGCCCAGTCAGCATCACGGGAGAATCTCCTGGAGGAGCAAGGCAGCATAGCGCTGCGGCAGGAGCAAATTGACAATCAGTAAGGGCAGATATGGTCAGATCACAAAGGTCCAGGCACCACAAGGGGTTTAATCTGCATCACATACGGGTTTAGTCCTGAGGTTCCTAGAACAAATGTTCTTCTGATGCCCATCTACACTGAAGAGCGCACTCTTCCTGCTTTCCCCAAGTAATTTTTAACCCACAGAATGCCCATTTGAAGCTAAAATCATAACTGATGTTTTATTGTGTGTCCCCCCCTGACTGTGTTCATGGGTTTCTTTTTCTAAACAGCATGATTACCATCTTAACCTTAGTCCTTTGATTTGAGCTTTCTGAAATTCAGTGGTCTACAGCTCTGCCTTTTTTAAAAGGCTGCTTGGAGAGCCTCTCTTTCTACCACAGCTGCCAAAATAGAATTTATTTTTTATGAAATGGTTCTATCCTCTTTCCATGTAGTTAAACTGTACTGATGATATGTATCCTCCTTTTATGGCAAATCTTATTCCTCTAATGAAATCAGTTCTGAACGCTTGAATAATACATAAAATACATTCCCATGAATTTAGAATAATTGAATTTTTCTGACCCTAGTGATCCCTGAAAAAATTAGAATTATTTGTATACTTATAAACTGTTACTACTGAGACAAGAATGAGAGGTTTTGGTTTGTATTCTTTCCAGTGGCTTGGATCGTAAATGTGAGAGCAAAAATGTGGACTAAATATATTGCTAAAGTTGTTTAGCTCTCAGTAAAATTTCTTTTTAAGAGTAATCATTGTTCCCTGGCCTTGTTCTGTGAAATTACTGGTGTTTCCAGCATAGGAAAATCTACTGCCTTAAACATGGCAGAATTTTCAGGAAAGTGAAGGTGAACTAACTCTAAAATTTAATTTTCCTGCTTCTTTACTGTGATTTCATTCATGGCCTGTTTGCTTCTAATAGCTTTTGAATGACTCCCTAATTTCCCCCCTTAAAACATCCACCATCATGGCACCATTTGGAGCTGCTGGTTTTCATTCCTGTAGATTAATCCCACTAATTTGTGCATGCTTTTGCTGTGCCCCTTTGTGCAGGACACGCATAACTAAGGAGGCCGGCAGTGTATCCCTGCGTATGAAACAGGTGGAAGAACTGTGAGTAGGCCAAAGGCCTTGCTGAGCACCCTGTGTCCATTGCTATACCTGTCCATTCCCTTTCTGCCGCTTTTCTTGAAGCCAGTTGTTCATCCGGAAGAGATGAGGTGGTGGGAGCAACTGTGTTTCTGTGCAGCAGCTTTCGCTCCCAGGGGAAGAGGTTTTGGTGAAGCTATGTAGTTGATGGCTGGTTATCTCATTGGTTGCTTCCATGTGCAGCTGTGTGTTCATAGTGTTGTTGGTTTTCCCTCCTGTGGTTCTTTGTGATGGGCCAGCCACTGTCAATAGCAAACCTAATGGCTGATTCTGAAGTCTTCCTTAGTGGGAAGGAAATTAACTGCTTTTATTAAAGAGCTCTGTTACTTGGTAACTTACTGCTTTTTTATTCCAGTTTGGGAAGCTTAGATTTGATGGTCATTTTTTTAAAATCTTTAGCTTGGTTTTACTGAGTTTGTCATTTTCACATTTCCAAAGCCTAGTTGGGATTCAGTCTTCAGTATTTTCATTTCTAAGGATAAGAATAGTTTGATTCTTCTTAATAAATCTTCCATAAAACAGTGATGGAGATACTCTGTATTCTACCTGATTTTCCTTATGAAGTTGCCAAAACTTTGAAAAATATTATTTTAGAAATTTTCTATTGATCCAGAGATAGAAACATCCTGTATCAGGCTGTTTTACAGCTCAGTGTACCCTCTCCCACTGCCCTCCCTTGGGGACTGTTTGGAGAATTATAAACAGAAGAAAACGAATTTCTGTATATATTATGCTCAGAACATTCATGTCATCTCTCAGCTGTAGTCACATGAACCCCGTGTTAATTGTCCTAAACACTTGTTTCTAGTCATTTGTGGTTGTGCTGTCCTAAGTGCAGAGTTAGCCTGAGAACGTGTGTGTCTGGTGTTCCATTTGTGAACAATATGGCATTTGCTCGTCCCCGAGGCTGTAGTGTGGATACTTGGGAGCTTCTTCGTCATCTGCGTTCTGATACTTTGTCACTAGGGCATCATCATTACAAACTTAGAGCCTTGGATCCACATGTTGGAGAACCTGCTGGTTTGCCTTTATATTAGTATCTTCTGTAGTAAGCTAACTGCCTTTATTGCCCCTTCTTGTCACCCTTTTGAATTATATCAGATACCATTCTCTGCTGGAACTGGGTGAGAAACGTAAAGGCATGTTGGAGAAAAGTTGCAAGAAGTTTATGTTGTTCCGGGAAGCGAATGAACTACAGCAGTGGATCAATGAGAAGGAGGCTGCTCTGACAAGTGAGGAGGTCGGCGCAGACTTGGAGCAGGTTGAGGTGCTACAGAAGAAGTTCGATGACTTCCAGAAGGTGTGGCAAGTCTTACAGCTGAGCTAAAAAATCGTTTAAAGATTTATTCCTCTTGATCTTTGATTGCAGATTACTATAATGAAAATGTGTTACATAAATTAAAAAAAAAAGAAATGTGTTATATTCTGCCTTTTTTTCTTATTCTCCATCTTAAATTACCTTCACACTTTTCTTAAGTCAGCTTAGTTTCATGGACCAATTTTTGTTTCAAACAAAGAAATGCAGTTCTCATTACGTGCTATCTTAAGAACTTTTCTAAAACTAAAATATAAAAAGGTATAAAAATATTCTTATAACCAGCTGAAAATGTGTTTTTTTTTTCCCCATAGTGGCTAGGCATTCAAATTTCATCAAATTTTAAAAACATTCTTTCCTCCCTTTCACTCCAAAAATATCCATTGGAGCAGAATAGTGTTCATTAACTATAGTTAACTAAGTAAATTTGAAACAGACTATTGCCAATACCCTGTTACTTTGTTTCTTAGTGGCAAGCTGTGCTTCCTGATTTAGGTCACTGTCAAGAAGAAAAGCCAGTTCATAGGATATCTGTTGAATGGAAATTGAATGCTTTGTCTTTTCAGAATGTTGGTATCATCCTCCTTTGATTTGCTGTGTGGCTCTTGTTCTAGGATCTGAAGGCCAATGAATCACGGTTGAAGGACATTAACAAAGTGGCTGAAGACCTGGAGTCTGAAGGTCTAATGGCAGAGGAGGTGCAGGCGGTACAGCAGCAGGTGGGTATCCCAAACTTGCATGAGACTTTGTTGCCATATGAAGGCAACTTGATTCCTGTGTCCTTCATAGCCCAACAAGCAGCAGTTTATAGTACAGAATTGTGCCTTGGGTATAGACCACATGACCTAAACCGTTTTGTCTTGGGGCAATATCCTTTGCCTTCATATAGTAGAGAAAGCCTGTTGAATACGTAAAAGTTGCGTAATGTTTATATAGCCCTTAACCAATAATGAACTTGTGAGTTCCTTATAAATAAAAGATATTTACATGTAAATACTTGGTCTCTGTAGTAGACTTTAAAAACCTCCAGCATTTTTATATGCCTTCTTGTAATTCTTTGCAAGTTTAACAGTAATTAGTATTCTTAAGAGGTGTATAATAACACTGGTTTCCCTTTCACCTTGTAGGAGGTGTATGGCATGATGCCCAGGGTAAGTACCAGATGCTCTTTTTGGGACTTGAACATGAGAAAGCTTAGATCTTGGAAGACTATAAAGTCAGAGTATAAAAACCTGTGGAAAAGAAGTACCAGAAGTTGATTTCCATTTGCTGCTCTCCAAAAGACGAAAAAAGTTTTTTTCATCCCTTCAGTTTTCTAAAATTTCTCCCATGCCTATCATTTATTTTTGTTTATTATCCCTTTTGAAAGGATCCTGTGAATATGACATAAAGAAAAGTTGATAGTTTTGTTAGTCAGTTTTCTTATTCTCAGCAATATTACTGGGATAGAAAATGGGAGTTTTTCTCCTATTTGCTTAATCTCAACCAACCTTGCAACTTGCTAGCAACCAGTGATAAGCTCTTCTGGTTAAATTATCTGTGTACTCCCCCTGCGGAAGTAATAGGGGCATTAAAAGAAAAGGTAGGGGTACTGGTTTGTTTTATACAGACTAAATGCCTCCTTTTCTGAATTAGGATGAAGCTGATTCCAAGACAGCTTCCCCGTGGAAGGTAAGAATTCCTTCATTTCCAAAGGTTTAATAGGCACAAAAAAAAATGCTTTATGTCCTTTTCCTGTTTGTGCTTTTTTGAGCCTTTGGTCATTTCTGGACTTATTTCTTTCTGACCCTGGTTTTATATTCTTTGAATGTGTTACATCTTGAAATGTATTAATATACACAAGCAAAGTGATCACATTTAAGTGCTCAGTATGATTAAGGAGTCCTGGTGGTTTGTTGGTTAAGTACTCAGCTGCTAACTAAAAGGTCCAGCCATTTGAATCCACTAGCTGTTCTGCAGGAGAGAGGACCTGGCAGTCCACTCCTATAAAGATTATAGCTTAGGAAACACTATGGGGTAGTTCTGCTCTATCCCACAAGGTAAGGTAGAACTGATTGATGAAATTGGCTTTTTTGAGTCCAGGTCACTTGTCTTGCAGATTGTGTGAATAAATGAATAATTTGTCTTATAATGATTAGCACAGGGCCTACTTATATGAGGCAGAGGTTAAAGATGTCTGAATGTCCAGACTTTTCCAAACTGCTGTACTAACCAGTCACCTCAATAGAATTCTATATACCATTTTTGCATTAGCAAATGACAGGTTCCATGCACCTTGCTTGCATTAGCAGCAAGCTGTCTAATCCCCTTGGTGGGCCAAAAGCACCTTATTTGCATAGTCTTAATCATTGTGTGGATCACAAAAACTATGGCTAGAAGGGCCATCATTCACTGCATTGCAGTAGATATGACAACAGCGGCCACACAGCTAAATTGCATGTTACCCATATTGTTTCCTGAGTATACCTTCTAGGCGTGGTGCTTCATGGTCGGGCATTGTTCCACCAATAGGCTTGCATTCCAAAGAGACATGAACAGGAAAATGGTAGAGAATGTCAGGAGGGTGATACTTGTACACTTTCCATTTATCATCTGCCTGACTGCTTTCTCTTTGTGGCCTAAGAAAGGCTTCATAGAAGATTACTAGTTCTGAGGAGATATGTAAAGGAAGGGACAAGAGATGTACCCACTGAAGGTAGAAAGTATTCCAAGACATCAAGGTGTGGTGGTTGGCCAGAATGGGCATAATTCAGACCAAGAGGACAGGGGAGAAGTGTTTTTTTTTTTTGTTTGTTTTTGTTTTTTTAAATGTGAAGTATTTATAGTCATGATTATGAAACGTTTTGCCTAAGTCTCAGTTCTGGTGTCTTCCCTTTTGACCCAGTTGTTGAAGAATATTTCACTTGAGCTGTAGGTAAGTTAGGGAGATTTGCACTTTATAAAAGTACATTTTCCTGAAATACAAAGAAAGCATAAAGATCTAAATCAAAAGAAACTTAACACCACAGATACCATCAAGCATCCTAAATTAATCATTTTCCCTGCTAAGTCATTTTGTCTGAGGACCTAAGCTGAAGAAGCTCTTTCTTCTGGCCTCCTTCATCCAACTTGGCTCTAACTGTTTTGCTTGTTAAATAAGAAGGTCTCCAAATGGAGGCAGGGAATAATTTTTCCTTTGATTCACCTTTCTCAGTCTTATTTTTTTAAATATATATATAACGAAATTTGTCATGGGGAATATAAGTGGGCAGCAACCTTACCTATCTGATCTTCCAACAGAGTTTTCCTGGTAACATAAGTATTTATTTCAGAGATGTATTTTAGATCTTTATGAACATCCTAAAAAGTGTTAAAAACAGTGACTCTCTACTTCCTGAGCCCTGCACACATCCACACTGGCTGAAAATGTCACTTGGTTTTTCTTAAGAAGAGATAAGAGCTTTACTTCCCTCCATTGATGCTTAGGCTCTCCTTTTTTTACATATAGGAAGGAGTACGGGTGTTAGAATTCCTACCAAGAGTTGTTTCTTCCAGGTAAAACTGAGGGCGCTCTAAGATCCCAAAGGACATTTCTTTCTTTCTTTTACTTTTGTTGCAGTGAAAACACAAGATACTACATTTTACATTTACATTTACAGCTTAGAGATATTGATATTTTTCATGTTGTGCCACTATTATTACTGTTCCTTTCCAAAATATTCCCACCATTAGTATAAACTCATGCCCTGCAAACAAAAGCTTCCCCTTTCTTCCTCCCTCCTACTCATAGTAACCACTAATAATCTTTGGTGTCTGGATATGTGTGTGTGTGTGTGTGTGTGTGTGTGTTTGTATGTATGTATATATATATTTCCCATCCCTGGTAACCAACAAAGTTAGTTCCATTCCATAGGACATTTATTTTTTATAAGAGGTTGAGAAGAAAGCTGATGGCACTGGTTTTTCTTTTTCATCGGTAGGGCTATTGCCTTCTGTTCTGGTTACCTACCTAGTGCCTCTCTGACAACAATATATCACAAATGGAATGGTTTGAACAAACGAGTTTATTCTTAAAATTTGGAGGCTTTAAGTCCGAGTTTAAAGTGCCAGGCTCTAGGGGCTGGGTGAAAGCCCCTCAATCTTGGGCTTCAGCTCTGCCTCCTGCTCCCGGCCCACTGGAGCTAGAGGCTTTTCTTTACTCAGACAGCTGCTGGCTGCTGAGACTGACAAGCTCAAGGTTGACAAGTAAAAAGGCACAGTCCTTATGTTACCAAACCACATGGCAGGCCATTAATTTAAGTCCATTGAAAGTCCCAAGCTCAGCAGAGCATGGCAGGCTGCTGAACAACGACTTGGCTACATGCAGGGTTCAAGCGTACTATAAGCTAGAGACCGTTCCAAAAGCTGCTGCTTATATACAGGGAGCAGACCACCTCCCTAAAGCTGGTTGTAGATCCCACCATGGAGTTGATTGCCAGTCTCATCATGGCGAATAACTATACCAGCTGCCCAGCTACTCAACCAGGCCCAGCCAGGTGGACACAGAACCTTAACTCTACCACACATTGATTCAAAGGGACACTGTTAAAATGAACCGACAAAACCAAACTCACTGCCGTCGAGTCGGATCTGATTCATAGTGATGACCCCCCCTTGGGTTTCTGAGACGATATCATTAGGGAAGTAGATTACCCAACCTTCCTTCAGAGGAGTGGCTGGTGGTTTGAACCACCAGCCTTCTGGTTAGCAGTCAAATGCCTTAGGCACTATGCCACCAGAGCTCCTATCGATAATCATAAATAGAAATGAAATTGATTATTAGTGCACTTGATGGTGTAAATAATCTCAGCTACCCACACTTGCTAAACTGAGTGTGTGTTTAGTGAAGTATTCTTCCTGTGGGATGAACAAGAAAAAGGCTCTAATCATTAGTCTTTGAACTAATGATTTATGGTTTGTGGCCAACTGGTGGTTATAATTACGGTTTTGCCACTCTCTCTTCACTGTTCACTGGATAAAATCAGTGAGCTAGCTCTAACTGTGCACTTGGAATTTTTTTCATGACTTTCTTTTGGTTCTTTCATTAATGTCTCTGCTCAGAAATTTGACAGTATCCCTTAAAGATAATCTTGGTTGATGATTGGGACCTAATTAATGGCACTTACATCTCAGATTTTTGTCTCTTAATTGGCAGACACATGATTAGTTTTGTTCTCTGCTTTCTTCCCTATATAGTCTGCTCGCCTGATGGTTCACACAGTGGCCACCTTTAATTCTATCAAGGTAAGAAACAGTTACTAGTACTTGTCCCCCTCCCCAGTTTTCTTTACTCTCCTTCCTTGTCTGTAGTAGAGCTCTTGTCCTAGTTTATTGTAGCACTTCTGACTCTTCTGGAGCCAGGAGTGTTCCAGACGTATATCAGTACCCTTCATGGCAGCAGAGTGGCTTTGTTGGCTTTTCTGGTCAAAAATTTGCCAGTTCTAAGCTATAAATTCTACTCTTGGAGGTATTGGTATTTTCTAAGCTTGAAGAAATAGCCTGCATTTTTTTTTTTAATGTCCTTGGTCCTCTTTTTTTTTTTCTAAATCACTGACACTTTCCATTTTGAAAAATTTAATTCTTAACAATGAAGTTGCCTTCCCTTTGGTTTCCAGTAGGGCTGGGATCTGTCAGGGGTGTATTCTCAGGAAAGCAATAAATGCTTTTCTTGCCTCCTCACAGATTCCATTCTTGGTGTATATGTATATGGTCAACCGTTAACTTTTTTTGTGACTTTTACTTTATTTCTGCAAGGAGGTTTGCTTTCTTTCTGTACAAGGTGGTCTCATGATAACCCAGCTTTTTCAGGCCTGCTCTGGCTGAATGATGTAGCTATGTTAAATGTTTAAAGGCAGTGGAACTCTTTGGAATTTATTCACTTGATTATTGCCACTACATCCCAGGCACCAGGCTAGGAGTTGAGAGAGAGGACAAGTCAGTTGTGCCTTCTGCTGTTAAAAGCAGTTCGTAGTTTGGTTCTTACAGAATGTCCAAGCCACTGGGTATAGCAAGCTTTGGCTTGGTTCTGACTTTCTCGGATTTTGTTGAAATTTGCACACTAATTTATTCAACTAGAAAGGTTGCAAATAGGAATCATAGGTGCTCTAATTCCTTTCACACTGAGCCTCAGACCTTCATCCAGAGTCCTCTTCTGTGAGGATATGACAGACAGGGGTGCAGCACAGCTGACACTCTGCTGTCGTCCTGCAGGAGCTGAATGAGCGTTGGCGGTCCCTGCAGCAGCTGGCTGAGGAGCGGAGCCAGCTCTTAGGCAGTGCCCATGAAGTACAGAGGTTCCACAGGTAAGGAGGCCATCCCAGCTCTGGAAAAGAGAAAAACAGTCGACTATCAGGTTTGTGAATTTACGTTGATCAATTAGTTTCAAACCAGGGCTTCAGATGGGTCCATTCTAGTTCAACTCCCTGCTAAGGATTTGTATTTCCACCCTGTGAAATACTAAAGTAAGAATGTATCTTTTAACAAGATCTCCAGCTGATTCTTGTGACCCTTATGTATACGTAGTAATCACCCGGGGGGATTTATAAGAGCCTCCTGGGGGTCTTGTGGCTGTGTGTGCACAAGGAGACAGCTCTGGGCAGGAGTGCGTGGTAGAGGAGGACACGGAGAAGAGGTGGCTATAGGGAGGAAATGGGAGGAGAGCTGTTGCATTTGGGAGATTATAGTCAATGTCATGAGACAGTGTGTGTGAACTGCTGTATGGGAGATGAATTTGCTCTGTAAATTTTCACCCAAATCACATTAAAATTTAAAAAAAATTAAATTACTGGTATCTGTTACTGATCAAAAAAAGAGAAACTTGGGGATCTTGTTAAAATGTAGGCTGTGATTCAGTATATCTGAGGTAGAAATGCAAACTCTCAGCAGGGAGTTGAACCAGAATGAACTAGGTTGAAGCCCTGCTTTAAATTTAAACTTCCTGACTGAGAACGCTGAGTTGGATCTCGTTGATACTAGTGCTCTCAGCAACTGGGATATATCTGACACAAGTGGGTGCTTGGTAAATCCTGCTGAGTGAAGGAGTGCATGTTCTCTGGCAGGGCTGCAAACCACATCATCTCTGTTCAGTCATAGCCAATGAAGTGAAATTAGAACAGATCCAAATTTCCCATTCCAGCATGCTCACATTTTATAAATTCAAGTCCTTCCCAGTTCATTGGATTGGCCGTGACTGAACCAGTTCATACTGGTCCAAAGCCCTGTTTATTGCTGTTGGTGGTAGTAACTAACAAATGTACAAATGCCAACTAAATAAACTACATCCCTGCATTTACCCTGTAATCAAAGCAGATGTACTTAACCATTTGTTAACTTGAATGTGTCTGTCTCGCCTATAGAGATGCGGATGAAACCAAAGAATGGATTGAAGAGAAGAATCAGGCGCTAAACACAGACAATTATGGCCATGATCTAGCTAGTGTCCAAGCCCTGCAGCGCAAGCATGAGGGCTTTGAGAGAGACCTCGCTGCTCTTGGCGACAAGGTGAGAGGATACAAAGTCATTTTCTGACATTCCTGCCCAAGGCAGAGCTAGAATGGTTGCAGTCTTTTTTTTGCAGAGTAGAACTTCCTTGTTTCTTGAATTCTTAACCACCATCTTCCTATAGGTAAATTCCCTTGGAGAAACAGCAGAACGCTTAATCCAGTCCCATCCTGAGTCAGCAGAGGACCTACAGGAAAAATGCACCGAGTTAAACCAGGCCTGGAACAGCCTGGGAAAACGTGCAGACCAACGCAAGGCCAAGCTGGGTGACTCCCATGACCTGCAGCGCTTCCTTAGTGATTTCCGGTAACAAGCAAAATACTAGCACAGAGTTCTAGACTGTAGAACCTTCTTTTTAATGGTTGTTTTTATTTTGGATTTAATACATACGCAATGTAAAATATTCAAACAGTACTGAACACCAAAAAGGCAAAAGTAAGTCTTTTTCTGTCTAGACATGTATGCACATACACACTTTTCCCTAGCAAACACTATTTTTTTTTTTCCACAGACCTAATTTTCACTTAGGAGCTCTGGTATCTTAGTGCCTAAGGCACTTGACTGCTAACCGGAAGGCTGGTGGTTCAAACCAGCCACTCCTCGGAAGGAAGATGGGGCAATCTACTTCCGTAGTGATACTGCCTCAGAAACCCAAGGGGTCGCTATGAGTTGGGTCCAACTTGATGGCAAATAACAACAACAACAATTTTCACTTAATATAGATAGATCTCGGTCTTCCTGCCTACTGGTTTTATTTAGAAAAATTTTAAGGTTATGGAAAAGTTGGAAGAATAATATAATGAACACTCATATACCATTTGCCTGTAGCCAGCCGTTAACTTTTGTAGCATTTACTTTATCTCTTCATATACATACACTTTTGCTTTTCTGAACCACATGAAAATAAGTTGCGGGTATGTGACATTTTATCCCTAAATACTTCAGCATGTATCTATATCTAGATTTTTAAACTATCTGTATATGAGCTCTGATGGTGTAGTAGTTAAAGCATTGGACTGCTAACCAGGTCAGTGGTTAGAACCCACCAGCCACTCTGTGAGAAAAAGAAGAGACAGTCTGCTTCCATAAAGATTTACAGCCTTAGAAGTCCTATGAGGCAGTTCTGCCCTGTCCTACAGAGTTAATATGAGTCAGTGTCGTGGTAGTGCCAGTGGGTTGGGTTTGGTTTTTGATCTCCGTGTCTACATAAACAAATATGTGGTCATTCTACATAAAATTTCCTTTGTCAAACCCAAGAAATCTAACATTAATTCAATAATAATTAATTTTCATTTGTATTTCTTTTTTTGCATTTGTTTAAAATATGTGTATTATAGCCATAGCTTATTTTTTGATCTAGGATTCAATCAGAAATTACTCATTGGATTTGGAGTCTTATTTCTCCTTTAATCTAGAACAGTATGCCTTGCCCCACTTTTTTTTTGGTCTTTCATGAGTTTGATGTTGTATGTGTATGTGTGTTATTGTAAAAGTATGCATGACAAACCATTTGCCAATTCAACAGTTTTCACATATATAATTCAGGGACATTGATTATGATCTTCATCATGAGGGTGATATTTTTGAAGAGTCCAGACCAGTTGTCTTATAGAATGTCTCTTGGTCTAGCCCATCGTTCTTTTTTTCTCTCTCTTTCCCTTCCCCACCTACCCCTGGTAACCACTGAAAAATACTTCTTTTTCTGTGAAAACATTTTCTTGAATTTTTACAATAGTGGTCTCATATGATATTTTTCCTTTTATGATAGATTAATTTCACTCAGTATAATGTACTCTGAGTTCATCCATATTATGAGAGATTTTGCAGATTCATCATTGTTCTTTAACATTGTGTAGTATTCCATTGTGTATGTGTCACTGTTTGTTGATCCATTCTTCCGTTGATGAGCATTTGTTTCCATGTTTTTGCTATTGTGAATAGTGGTGCAGTGAACGTGGGTGCACATATATCTTTTTATGTCACAACTCTTATTTCTCTGGAATATACACCTAATAGTGGGATTGCTGGATCCTACAGTGTTTCTATTTCCAGGTTTTTAAGGAAGCACTATACCATTTTCTCAGTGGTTGCACCATTTTACAGTCCCACCAGCAGTGTATGAGGGTTCCAGTCTTTCCACACTCTCACTAGCATTTGTTTTTTTGGTTTTTTTTTAATGCATTTTATTAAAATATAACTTAGGTACAGTGGAATACACAAAACTAAAGTGACATGGGTCAATGCATTTTTTTTTTTTTTTTTTTTTTTTTTGCAGTGTCCCCTCCCCTCCCCTCCCACTCACGGCAACCAACAAAGAAAGTTTCCCTCCATATATAAATCTTTCCTTGACCCTCCAAAACAACTAACTAATGCTATATTTGTCCTTCTGTGATTGACTTATTTGACTCAGCATAATGTTCTCCCAAGTTCATCCATGTTATACATGTTTTGAAGACTCTACATTATTCTTTAGTGCTGCATAGCATTCCAGTATGTGTATGTACCATAGTTTGGTCATCCACTCTTCCGCTGATGGGCACGTAGGTTGTTTCCATCTTTTTGCTATTGTAAATACTGCTGTGATGAACATGAGCGTGCATGTATCTGT